GGCCGGATCTCAGCTTACTGCAAGCTCCGCCTCCCGGGTTCACGCCATTCTCCTGCCTCAGCCTCCCGAGTAGCTGGGACTATAGGTGCCCGCCACCGTGCCTGGCTAATTTTTTGTATTTTTAGTAGAGATAGGATTTCACCGTGTTAACCAGGATGGTCTCGATCTCCTGACCTCGTGATCCGCCCGTCTCGGCCTGCCAGAGTGCTGAGATTATAGGCGTGAGCCACCGCGTCCGGCCTGTGTGTGTAATTTTAATGGGTATTGCCAAGTTGCTTTCCATGGGGATTGTACCAACTGAGCCTCCCACCAGTGCCGTATGGGAGTGCACGGAAGACAGCGCTTTTATATTGTTCTTCTGGAAAACACATGCAAATGCCTGTATGTGTTCACATCTGCTTTTTGCTTCTACACAGGGAGTAGCAGCCATACGTCCTCTTCTGCTTCGTTCACTTTAAAACATATCTTGGCAATGTTCCATATCCACAATACCGAATGTACCTTTTTAAAAAGACTATGTAGTCTTCCACATTCTAAATGTAAAATCATTGTTTAGCCAGTTTTCTATGGATAGCCATGTAGGTTGTTTTCCCATTGTCATTTTTATAAACAGTTCTGCAGGGAGCATCCTTGTATGTACATCTAGGCACCCTGGGAAGACCCTGAGAGCTGTGGTCCTCAAGGAAGACCTGACACTCCCTGGGGCCCCAGCCTGGTCCACCCCTGGCTCTTCCCAGGCCCTGACCTGGCTGCGTTCTTGCTTCTGCCCTGCCTAGTCCTGGGACAACTTCTTCCGGAAAGCCAGTGAGGAAGCCTCTTCTGGCTCTGCTCAGCCACGGCCCCCTTCTGTTGTCCGTGACAGCAGGTCTGCAGTCTCAAGCCGGACCAAGACCAGCAAGTTAGTGGAGGACCACCTGGCCGTGCAGTCCCTGATCCGGGCCTACCAGGTGAGGGGCAACTGAGGCACAGCCTGGGAGGCTGCACTGGCTCCTGGGGTGTGGCCAGGCACTGAGGGGAAGGGATCTCAGCTCCAACATCGTCTCCCCAGAGAGCCCTTCTCCTTGTCCTCTACTGAGCAGCACCCACTTCTCTAGCCAGTCTTTGCCACATCACCATTCAGAGCACTTACCACCTGCTTGAATTTTTTTTGTGCATACTGACGTGTGCTTGTGGTCTGTCCCTTGCACACACCATGCCCCAAGTACGTGGAGGAGCACTTAGTAAGGGATCAGTTCCAGAGCCTGTTGAATGAGGGGTGAGTAGATTAACCCTTGTTAATTCTGTTTTCTCCTCTAGAATGGGCATCCCAAGAGCACAGGGACTGATAGAGCAGGTGCCTAATTCATGGTTATGGAATGAATGGTTCAGTAAACAATTCTCCCCCACCAGTTGCTCCTCCTGGAGACTTAGGCTCTCTCAGGCTGGGCCTCTGCTCTGTCAGAGTCCCAGTGATGGTCTGTGTTTTTGGTCTTCATCGGACAGGACTAATTGGAGGACTGCTATGGTGTTCAGGCCATAACAAGCATAATCATTTGGAATATCTCTGGGAACTGCTGGCAGGAGGTATTCCATCAGGGAAATGTGAGGCAGAAGCAAGCCACTGCAAGGCTAGGGTACAGGGGGGCATTAGCAAATGGAAATGATGCTTTGCTTCTGAATGAGGTGCCCAGTGTGTGGGATGGAATGGAGTTCCCCGTACACCGCCCACCTGGGGATGGAAGAGGGAAGGTGTGCAGGGTTGGGCTCCCTTGCTGGCCTGAGGACCCATCAACTGTGGGCCACCTGGGAGCAAACAGCAGCTAGTTGTATTGTGTCTTTCCTAGCTGGCTGAAAGAAGCAGTGATCTAACCCTTGACTTCAAAAATGAAGAGCAAGGATGTAAAACTGTATATCAAGTACAGGGAAATGTTCAGGGTGCTGCCCGAGAGCCTTATCTTCTAAGCACAGGTCTCAGCCCTTCAGTAGCTCTTTGTTCTTTGATTAACCAAGATGAGGCATTAGTTTTCCTGGCAGGGTGGCCTCTGGATTCAGGTGTGTTACTCTCTTGTGCCTGGTGTGGATGAGCTCCCACCAGAACGGCTGCAGCCCCTTACAGGCCAGTAGCAGGCACAGCTCTGGTTAGAATCACCTGCACACTGTACTGAAAAAACCACTGTATTGTTACAGGGATTTTTAAACATATAAAAGGCAGAAGGATAGTGTGGTGAACTCACCACCCATCAATCATGATCAGCCTCATTTCATCCGTTTCTCCCTTAGCCCCCGCTCACTGCTGGATTATTTTGAGGCAGATCCCAGATACAGCATTTCATTCATTGAACATTTCAGTATGTATGTCTAGA